TATATCTACTTGAAGCAACCTTGCCCACTGATTCCCTGCTTTGGAAGGAAAGAAGGATTTATTTTTTTTTTTTCAGGATTTCTTCACACTTGTGCTTTTAACCACGCAACCGAAGCCCACACTACTGGACAAAGCCACCAGGTGGCAGACTCCCACAATGCCAAAGACGCTTTCTTACCACCCCTCCAACAAAGAAGGTCTGGCCCCAAAAGCAGCTCTGCAACCCACCGAAGACAGCAGCCCAAAGCTACCTGTTTAAAATGAATCTGAAAACATTTATCACTCCGACACCCTTCATAGAAAGAGGGAGAAATTATTAACCAAAGAGAAATACAGCTTAAGGAATATGATCGCTCGCATAGCTGAATTCTTCAAAATGCCTTCCTTTCCTCACAATCATCAAGTTCAGCTTCAGGCACCATTTTATTCATTCACCATCTCCTCTCAACACCAAGTCACAATAGGAGTCACCATCTTGTTATATAGGATGAAGAACAGGCACACCCTGGCATTTGAGTTCTCATTATTTAACAACTCACATGAACATCTGTAAGCTTATACGCAGAGATAAGATACAGATCAATCAGAAAAAAATTCAGTTTTGTACAATGTCATAAACGAATCATTGAGGCAGTGATAGGAAATGGCATTTACGTACTTGTGGTTCCTGCTCCTCTTAGACAAGCTCAAACCTTTCCACAACTCCACTAAATGTTGCCGACTGTCTCAAATCTGAAAACACGTATCAAGAAGTATCAAGGCCCCCAAAATACTCCAAATGCCCTCTCCCCAAAGCTTATCCTTTTATAAAAAAAGATCATATATACAAGAAAATTATTATTTTAGGCTTTAGAGAAAGCACCTACGAGTTGATGTATTGCCATTAGATCCCTGAATCTCATCAGGATTTGCAGACTTTCCAGTTGTTATCTGACTGTTCAATTACTAGACCCACCTATTAGTATTAGAACAGATACCACTTGCCAAAAGTGAGTTCTTTAACAGTACAAGGTGGCTATTACTGTTATTCAGCAAATGCATGGTTTTGGCAAGGAATACATACAGCTCTACCTCATGGCCTCAATTCTTGTAATTTCTTGACTAGTTATAATTATCACCTATATATATTATAGGTTCAATTTAAATCTAACCAGAACTAGATCCAGTGCTGCCTACATTATGTTGCAAAACGAATAGCATATCACTATCTGCTTTTGTTCCATTCTTTCCAGTATGCAATCCTTGGACAGAGGAGGTAAGCAATGCACGCTTGAACTTCAAATGGCCTATCCAGATGCCAGTTGGATTGCTAAATGTCATACAATAACTCTTTCGACAGACGAAAGGGATGTGACAAAGGACAGCATTACTGATTGCAAAAGAAAGTTATTTACACTGCAGTTTCTCCAAAATTTGAACACCAAGGGTACCCAATCCTGTCAGTACAAGTAGTAAATAACCAAGCCCTTTCCACAGCAAACAGACAAACTGATTCTACCACACCATATCTAGGGTCCTATGACTGTTTAACAGCTATCAAGAAAGGCTATAATGTTTTAACAAGCTTTTGGAACTGTCTTTACGGAAGACAACGTCAGGGAAAAAAGATAATAAGATGGGGGGGGGGAAATCTTTCACTTCCAATTCACACCACCTTTCCAAGACAGTATAGTTCATTCTTAAAGGCAACCTCAGTAAGAACTACTATTTTTCTTCCATATCTGATGAACAAAAAATTCTCCAGCCTCATTACAAGGAATAAGGAATGCCACCATCATTCCAACACTTCCTAGGAAGCATATTGAGTTCCACCACACAGTTAATCCTTCACTTGAACTTTTCTTTGACAATCTATTCGTCTGCTAATGTTATTCCATCAATTTCCACCTACTACTACAACACACGCTTGTATAGCTTGGTGTGTCATTTTTTAAAGGGGGAAGCTATTTGTTTATGTCATTACAAATTTCATTAAATAAAAATAAAAACAAACGGTCATCCTTCCTAAACACACTTGTTTCAGAGCACCTGAAAGTCAGATGGCATGGAAAGACAACTGTTGGCTTTGAAGAACAAGAGAAACTATTTTATGAGAGAGCAAGGCTAGAGACACCGAGGTTGCCCTAGCCACCAAAGATATCCTCTGGATAGATTGTCCTCTCCTTCCCCCTTCCACCTTCCCCATTCTGTCACAACTAAGGTCCACGTTTTAGAGCAGAGTCTTCGAGTAGTGTCCAGTGTTCTCAGAAAGGTGAAAAATAAGTGTAACACCAACAGCTGCACTGAATAAGCCATCTTTAACCTTGGAAACTAATATACTCCAAAACCCCAAAGCAGGATAAGAGGAGCAAAAGTAGATGTTATGAAATACAGACTAAGATAATCTGTTCATCAAGAAAGTATGAGCAAAAACCTAGCCATGCTGAAGTAGATCATCTGGTATACTACTAAAGAAAAGAGTTAAAATTGATTTTGCTTGATTGAATGATTGAATTTTACTATCAATTTGAAAGGCTCCAAAGAGAACGAATATTGCTTTGAGTAACAGTTCCCTCCAGGAAAAATTGACAAAGCAATAACTAGATTTACCTTTGAAATGAATTCTTTAAGTATTTCAAGAATTCCAGAGCCTCCAAATAATATCACACTTCCCACCTATAGCTAGGTCTCTCATTTTATCAGAATGTATGTCCGTTAACAGGTATTTTATTTTAGACTAGAAATCAGTCTAGCTATTCTCAGCCCTATTTCTACTCCTCCCTGCTGAATTCCTAGAGAAGTAGGTGTTAGATCAAATTTATTTAAAAAAAAAAAAAAAAAAATCAAACAAAACCACCTCCACTTACACTGACACTAAAAGGCTGCTTAAATGAAGGAAATAAAAGGTGCCTTTGTCTCCTTCTCATCGGCTCACAGAGGAGGGCAACCCATTAACAAAAATAAGGCATATTTGTAATTTAGTTTGTCTTACAGGAACAGAACGAACCTGGTAAGATTTACACAAGCTGCAGTGTGCTACTGCTCATTTTGGTGTGCTCAGTAATACCGTGTAGAGACAAAAAAGAAGTGTTAGAATAACTGCCAGAAAAAGATTTGCAGTTTTCTGAAAGATTCCTTCTTTGAATTTGAATATTTGTTTCACCTTTTTGAGCACCAGAAGAAGGGGTATAGAAATAGCATATCACAGAAAGACTATCTATTAAGAAAAAAATCCAAATTCCTACAGTCGAACAACATACAACATACGAAGTGTAGAAGATTTCAAAAGAAAATTTTCCAATGAAACCAAGGAAGCTGACTAATGTAAAAGAAAGCATTTGGGGAAAAAGCAAAAACAAAAAAACCACCACAACACCAAAACCAAAAACCCCCAAACCCATAAAAACCAACAACCACCACAAAACATTTTAACACAGTCAAGCAAAACCCAAGCTAATTTAATCTATCAACATAGCCAGGACCTGTAAACATTTTAAGTCTGGAGGATCTGCAAGTTGTTCATGATATCCATAGGTAAATCTCTTCCAAAGCTATGTAAGTGTAGAATCAGGTGGTATATTATTTTATAGGACCGATACACTTCTTTACTACCTCAACATACTTAAGTTACACTCTACAGAACCTTTGTATTTATATGGTAGAGCCCAATAAGGCAGCTAGCTAGATGGCAGTTTAAAAGTACTCTACGTAGACACAAAGCTCTTACTTAGGTGTAAAGAACTCAAACTAATAGCTAAATAATATACTCTCATCATAAAATCAAAAAAACAAGGTAAAACTTTACAGGACTTCGTAACAGATATAGCTTAAATGGTCTGACTGCCAACTATGCTCTCTAAATCCACACCATTGGCGGGGGGGAGGAGCATGGGAGGAATCTGTTCAGCAAACATGTAACTCATATTTCCTAATGGTCTACTACACACTCAAATATTCCCATTTAAAAACAAAAAAAAACCCAAAACAACACAGCAACAAAAAAAAGCCAAGAAATTTCTTCCTTGTGATTCCAGTCATATTCTTAGTGGGTTTCATATAATGTTTGCTGTCATAAGAACAAGAAAAGCAAGACCTATAGCTGAGTATTCATACAAGTGACCTGAAGGTAGGTGGGGAAGGGGTGGAAATCACCCCTGAGAAGTCTGCTTTTTTAGTAAAAAAATAAGTAAGTTAACATTTTTAATAAAATGTTAAAACATTTTTAATTTAAAAATTTTTACATTTTTAATAAAAAAATAAATAAGCTAATTTTTGTGTTTAAACTTCTGATGTCAAAGTAAACTTCTGTTTATTTTAAATTGCTCTTTCTACTAAATAATTATTCCATGTGCATCTGGAACACAAACAGCTGTGCTGCATCTAGGGAGCATGTCTAACAAGAAAAAAAAATAAATCCTAAGGACATATTTCCCTCCAGGACAATGACATGCAATAATTTGTTTCTACAGAACTTTCCTGCAATAACGCTCACTATAAATGTAAACACACAAAGAATTAGGTAGAAGTAATCTGGATATTAAGGAATCATTCAGACATCCATTTAAAAAAAAGCCTTTTAAAACTGTGTGGAGCAAGGAGGGTTTGTGGGGCGGTTTTTCTGTTTTGTTTTTTTTTCTGCCTTGACTTTCGCCTTAAGGATCATGAATTGAGTAAAGCTCAAGTTTGAATCTCATTCAAAATACGAAAAACACAGTAAGGGAATGAGGGGAGCACATGTCTGACTACAAACCCAGGAAATATAAAATGTCTTTTCCCTTACACTGGGGGCACACTCTAAGTAAATGGACAAGGATTACTGACAGCAATGGACATCTCCATGAATCTTACTTGGGCTGCAACCAGCTGATGAGGCCTCACAGAGCTCTCAAAAAAATTTTCATGAGGGAGCCATGAACAGGAACCTTTAGGAGATGGTAATGCTGGACTAAAGAATATTACCACGCTGGGGTGCAGGACTGATGAGAAGTATTTTGTCTGGGGAGCATTTCTGAGGCGCTTACCTCCTTTGAAGTCTCTTGGCGTCAGGATGAATGCTAGCTGTCCTCGGGCTGCCATCCCTTTGAGGGGAGGGAGATACAGATGAGCCCAAAGGTTCTCTTCTAAACACAAGTCCTTACTGCAAGCTGGCCAAAAGGTCCCTGCAATCAAAGAAATCATTGTGGTTTTGCATGTGGCGCATTTATGTCCTTTAATCAAGGTTTGTCAGCCATCTAACATGTTCAACCACAAAGAAAAAAAAATAAATGCATCTGCTGGGTAGCCAATGCAGAACAGAGGCTAAGGAAAGAGAAGAATTGTTCATTCCAGTTTGGACACTATGAACTCCATGAAAAAACACAGGCAACATGATTTCTCAGACTAAGCAGAATCACCTCAGTATACAGTATTTTATGCATATATATACGTACAAAAAACTACTATTTGCCTTTGGAATCATTTTCCAACACTCTGAAACTCCTGCCTCATTCCGATCTCAAAAAAATATATCACATTTTCATTTCTAGACATACATACTAGTCAATGTATTCCACAATCTAACGCAGCAGTCACTTGTCAACAATTACCTCTTGCAATTACCACAGCAGTATACAATTAATCCTTAAATGCATTCTTTTTGCCACAACCTAGTTGTAACAGAGTTGCAGAGCCACTTGCTAGGAAAAAAGCAATGAAAGTTCTGTCACAGTGCTGATAAAAGATTCCTTCTGCAGAATGTTTAGCAGACTTTAGTGATTGCATGTCAACATGCTAGAGCCACGAGCTCCATGTTTTCCTTTGTGTGAGTCATCTCTAACAGTGTCCACATTCACAGCCTCTTTGGCACACTCCCTGGGCACATGCCCTTCTTCCACCATAAAAATGAATCTTTACAGCCCGGCTGTCACAAGCCTAGGCATGCCATATTAAGCACATGATTCTCAGAGCTCTAAACTAATGGTTTATAACTCTTCTACCAAAGTATATTACAGTAGAGGTAAACAGACACATATTTCTTGTATTGGCTGTAAAACCAGTTTCTAGCTAGCAAACACAAGAAACTTGCACAACCGAAGAACTGTACACATTCCACTTCCTAAAGGACTGGGTAACCACCTCTTTGGAACACTTAGTGTATGCAACTCCACGATCTTTCTCTTCCCACTCGCCTATAGCCATTCTCCCTCTTCTCGCTGCAAAAAATAGCAGTGGGAGAGTGAAAAATCCTGTCCCTTACAATCATTATCTTTTTAACTGTTAAGTTTTTTATTACCTAGTGGGGCTGACAATAGTAATCCTCTCCTCCTCTGTCCACCAGGTAAAGAACTACTTCATAATCACACCTATCGAGTCATTACCTTCTGGGTCAAAAAAACCCCTAACTGCAATCTGTGGCAGATCTTTAAACGGCAAGTTCATTTAAAGAGGCACACAAAGATTAATGAGTAACTTACACGGTTCTATGACAATCTCAACATTTTGTCTATTCACCTCTCACAGATAGCCACAGAGAAGGCAAGAAACACAAAAATGTAAACCATAACCAAAGCTCCATATGGAACTGAGATTTACGGAGACATACATCAAATGGTTAATAAGCTGTACAAAGTCCCAAAATGGGAAATTGGAAGCAAAGGTAAATCAACAGCAGTTTACAGAATTCAGTCGTCCAGATAAACTGCATTACAACAAAAGCAGAACTAACAAATGAACCTTGCATCCGATGAACACTGAGATTAGTAATTTTTTTTCCAACAAAATGTCACCCTACTTGCACCTCCATATCTTAAACCCATTTCACTGGAGTAGTTCACATCAGTAACACTCAGGGGGTTTATGAATTACTCCCTTCTCTAGACCAGAAACAAACTTCCAACAGAAAACATGAGGCACAAGAATCCCTACACCTCCATTGTCCAAAAAACAACTGCTCTAATGCTGACATCTGTTCCTGTTTACCCTTACATCCAACTAAATTCAAAATGAAAGGTACAACTCAAATTTATTTCTCCTTTGTGCAAATATCGATCCACCCATCAGTTTAATCCTTTTTTCACCACTTGTATATACAACCTCCAAGACCTTCTGCATCCCTGCTCTGCAGCCTGTAAATCTTTACTTTTTTTCCCTTCACCTTTTGCATTCACATTGCTATTAAATTCCACCGCTTCCTTTACAGAATATTCATATGCAAATCCTTCTCCAAAACTCTTACTACTAATGAAGTTGCACGTATCAGACCTAGAACTGCCCAGGTTCAACTCAAACTTCTGCCAAGCTCATCGCTCCAATCCCTGCAAAACACATAATTTTTCTGCATATCCCTTGTTATTTTCCACTTTTTCCTCTTTACAACTCCTCCCCTGATCTCCAATTCCTGCTAAAAATACCTTCTACTCACACCCATCATTTCCAAACTGCCTTCCTCCCCTGTGATTTTTGTTTCCTTCTTACAAATTGCTGTTTCAAGGAAATGTTGAAGAAAGTCAAGAGGGAAAAAGCCTCTGCATCTCCAAATGACCATTTTTATCCCAAATGTTATGCAACAGCTTAAAAATTTAGTAGTATCATGGAAAAACTAGATGGAAAGAACCTTAAGAATTTGGATGAAAACACTGGCTCCTGAATACACGAACTGCGATGTTTTACAACTAATACAGTCCATAACTCTATTCACTGTGGAACTTTCCTTTCAAAGTGCAATATTTTTGAATCTAATCAACTTTTCTCAAATAACACTTGCTGAAAGTTCTACATTCAACCATTTTAATATATTTATTAACATGCTCTGTAACATGTTGTAAGATACTACTCCCTTACATGCATAAAGAATGTAACTTTTCTGCTTTTATACAGCTATCTCCATACAGACCATATGAAGACCTAGAAGAATTAATTTGACCCAAAGAACTGTACAAAAGCCGAAGTATGTTGAAGTAAAATGAAATTAACTGAGCAACACAAACTACCTACCACATTAAAGATACCACACAAACATAGTAACTATGCAAGAGCACTAGATTATGACAGAGGTATGTCAAGAAAGAAGTTTTCAATTGAAATGGTAAATGTTTTAGAGGTTCATGAGAACATCGGATCAATAGACTGGCAGCCACCTGATAGTGCCACTGGTCACATTCTAGCTGAAATGCGTTGTGCCAGGAAGCCGATTTGGGCAACAAGATAGTGAACTAGCCCATGGAACTACTCCACCTAAACCTGGGCACAAATACATACACACCCACACGCTTTCTTCAGCATTACTGTTGGGGTGATCACTGAGGTTTCACAACAATGATTTGGCAGCGTGCTCCCACAAAACTTTAGACCGATCTGAACCACCAGTGTACAGAGCCCTCATCCTAAAATAAATAAATAAATAAATAAATAAATAAATAAATAGAAAGGCAGTTAGTCCCCTGCCTACTCAGTGTGCTGAACCAGTTCACTGCAAGTTTAAGCAGGCCCTGGTGCTAGGGTGAGGAAGCAGGCAGTTGCAAGGCAGAGTTGGACTTCCCCTTTCAATGGCGGCGGAAAAAAGCTTGCACCTAGATGCTATACTGATATTCCCTTTTCAGATATTTCACAGGCCTGCAACAAGAAGTGTAGCAGTTAACAGACAAGATACAGAGGGACATTTGACATTATGTAATATTACATACTGTTAGAAAGCAATGCTATGTCATCCTGATCTATATGGACAAACTAAACAAAAGGCTTCATGTTACAGCTAATGTAGAAGCAAGCTGTTACCAAAAACTGTTGTTGTTCTTGCTTCCCCCACCTCCCAGTTTCAGGGCCACCCAGCTCCACCGTTTTTTTCTTTTTTTTCTTTCCTCTTTTCTTTCACCAGACCCAGCAATTTTGAAGCCACAGGTCTGAACTGGTTAATCTGCAAGGGTTTGGGGTTTGTTCTTTTCAAGAGTCAGGTTATTTTTGGAATGGACAGAAGGCATTGGGAAAACTAGTTTCCCACATGAACCAAGTCATTATACAGTCAACAGATCCAATACAAGTAAAATGGCAGGAACATGAAAGCAGGATGGGGAACAAGATACTGTTGCTGCCTATTTCAGCAGCAGCTACCTGTTAGATATGCCTAAAGGCAGGTACTCAGAAGTGAAATTATGCACAGAGTATTTCATACCATACAGAAGCCAGCAATCCGAGCAGTACAGAGGCAGCTTTTAAGGCCATCACAAGCACAGCACAACATATTACTTCCAAGAATGGTATTTTACATTGAGCTTTCTAAATTTTTATTTAAAACAAGATCAGAGTAACACGACACAGTCAAGTACTTAAATATTGGGTAATACAAAATACAGTTATTATGAACTCTCAGTTTTCTGTGAGATATACTAGTGATACTTCCCAAAGTTGACACACCTGTACCGTAAGAATTATTTAGCCATAAAAGACTAACAGTGCAGAACTGATTACACTGATGAACAAAAAAATTCTTGAAGTTCCTGAAGCTTACTAGGTAGCTTTTTCCATAGACTCAAAAAGGTATGACAATATGATGCAGACTCCATAAAGTGATAATAACCCTGTGGACTGCTAAAGAAAAGTAGTGGAATAAAAAGTTTCTAAAGTCACAATTCAAAACAATATCTTTGAATAAAGACAATGCAAATAAGGGACTCTTTTCTCATTAAGAGCATAGCAAATGACTACAGGGAAAGACAAAAGTAGTAAAGACCACAGGCAACAAAGATTCAGACAGTTGCAAGGTAACCATCTCTGAAAAAAGAAGGGACCAAACTATTTTAAATATGAAACCAGAGCCTCACAGCCAAACCACCTGTGCTAGAGAGAGACACAGTTCATGGGTTCTTTTGCACCCTTTTGCCTTTGTCTTATTTATGGCCCTTAGAGGCTGTACCAATGGAAGCTTTCAACTTGTTCTTTAAATCAGTAAACTGACTAGATCTGAAAGCCTGTCAGAACCACTAAAGAAACTCTTGCTACCTCTTTCAGGGCTGGCCCAGTTTCGCATTTACCATGGACAAATGAAGGCAACAGCAGTTCACCTCCTTGAGAGGTTAGTGCTGCCTGGTGAGAACAGAGGGGCTCACCAGGGCCTTCAGA